GCTGGGAAGTCATCGTAGATGGGTTTTTTCTGCAGACCGTTAGTCGGGTTGTCGCGGGGGAATGCGAGTATCTCAGGTGTCAAACAGCCAGGGGGAACATACGTTGTCCAGAGGCTCTTCGGCGTATGCAGTCCGTCTGGGATACAGGGCTACGCCTCCAGCCAGAAGGGTGGCCGCGATTGGAGCAACAGCTCGCTGGACGAGTTAGCGAGGTAGGAAGAAACAACGGGAAAGGGAAACTCACCTGCTGGAACATTGGCCGGAATGACATCCTGACGGAAAGAGGTCAATCAATGGCCAATGGTGGGGACGTGGGTGGTGGTGGTGATGGAGAAGCGTATCGAGAAGCGGAATGGAAGTCGACGTTGATGCTGCCAAGCCTTTTTCTTTTCGCGGCTGTTCGGCTCGCCCGATCCTCTCCGTCATCGTCCGTTGGCCTTGCCCGCTTCATTCTCCGTCAGATATGACCGTTGACAGTTTTCTTTGTCTGTGAATTGTTTGATATCAGTCCATCGATGGTAAATTTACAGGACGTTCTCTGCCTGGACTCTCCATGAAAGACCAACTACTGGTGCCTCTGCGGCGTCGGCCGTGGACATGCCGAAAGTGCCTGCAACGCCTGCAGCTGCACCAGGCTCGTCGCTCCTTCGAGACGGCAGCATCGCCATTCCCTCGACAGTTAGATTCTCTTCCGGCGGATTACTCACGAACAAAAACCGTCGACGACGATACCCTTCGCCGCGTGTTCGACTCCCAGCAGTTCTGGCGCGAGTTCTCGCAGCAGCGGTCGGCACAGCCCAAACCGACGGGATTAGTGCAGAACCAATATCTGACGAGTCCGGATGGCTTCCGGACGTTCGCCAACGTATCGCTGCAGAAATGCCAGGCGATCGTGTCCAAGGTGCTGGCGGCCTCGACGCTACAAGAATACCGGACGATGGCGCGGGATCTGGACCGGCTGAGCGACCTGCTGTGTCGTGTGATCGATCTTTCTGATTTCATCCGGGTGATCCATCCCGACCCGTGGGTGCAGGAGGCAGCGACGCAGGCGTACGCGCTCATGTTCGAGTACATGAACGTGCTCAACACGACGACGGGGCTCAACGACCAGCTGAAAAAGGCGGCGGCGAACCCCGAGGTGACGGCGCATTGGTCGGAAGAGGAGAGGATCGTGGCGCAGATCTTGATCAAGGACTTTTCCAACTCGGCGATCTATATGCCGCCGCACGAGCGACAGCGGTTTGTGAATCTCTCGAACGATATCAGCCAGCTGGGGTCGAGTTTCGTCAATGGCGCCGAGCCGGCCAAGTCGCACGTCAGTGTTACTGCCAACAGTCTCCGGGGGTTGGATCCGATCCTGGTGCAGCAGATCAAGCGGTGGAATCGGACGGCCGCGGTCCCGACGACGGGGATGATCCCGCGGCTGGCGCTGCGGTCGGTGCATGACGAGAACGTGCGCAGGGAGGTTTATCTGGCCACGAGGACTTCGAGCAAGCGACAGCTCCACCGGCTGGAGGAGTTGCTCCTCAAACGAGCGGAGCTGGCGAAGCTGTCGGGCTATGAGAGTTTCGCGCACATGACCCTCAGCGACAAGATGGCCAAGAGCCCCGAGGCGGTATCCAATTTTTTGACCTCCCTCGTGGGTAGCAATCGGAAACTCGTCCGGGAGGAACTGTCGCAGCTGCAAGCCATGAAAGGATCCGCGCTGCAGCCCTGGGACCACGCATATTACGTCCACCAACGCGTGATGCAGTATTCGCAGGCGCGGCGGTCCCGAGAGCTGAGTGCAGTGCCCGAGTTTTTCTCGCTGGGGACGGTCATGCAGGGTCTGTCGCGACTGTTCGACCGACTGTACGGAGTGCGGCTGGTGCCGCAGGAGGCCGCCCCGGGGGAGACGTGGAACCCGGACGTGCGCCGGCTGGACGTGGTGGACGAGGCGGACCGACACATTGCCGTCATCTACTGCGATCTGTTCTCGCGACCCAACAAGCACCCGAACCCGGCGCACTTTACGTTGCGATGCTCGCGCGAGATCTCGGCGGAGGAAGTGGCCGAATGCGCCTCGCTGGATCAGTCCTCGCACCCGAATGACGGGATGGCGACGGCGGTGGACCCGACCACCCACACGCTCCGGCAGCTGCCGACGATCGCGCTGGTGTGCGATTTCCCGGAGCCCGGGGCGGCGAACGGCGGGGGTCGTCCGGCGCTGCTGAGCGAGCACAGCGTGCGCACGCTGTTCCACGAGATGGGCCACGCGGTGCACTCGATCCTGGGCCAGACCCGGCTGCAATCGATCTCGGGCACGCGGTGCGCCACGGACTTTGCCGAACTGCCGTCGGTGCTGATGGAGCATTTCGCGACGGCGCCGGCGGTGCTGGCGCTGTACGCACGGCACTGGCGGACGGACGAGCCGCTGTCGGACGGGATGATGCGGAGCATGGAGCGCGACCGGACGGCGCACGGGTCGATCTACGGGGCGGTCGAGAACGAGGCGCAGATCCTGATGGCGCTGGTGGACCAGGCGTACCACTCGCGGCCGGCGGACGGGGGCCGCATCGACAGCACGGCGCTCTACCACCAGGTCGCGCAGCAGCACTCGAGCCTGCCGGAGCCGGCGGACACGACGCCGCCGACGTCCTGGCAAGGGTTCTTCGGGCATCTCTACGGCTACGGGGCCACGTACTACAGCTACATCTTCGACCGGGCGATCGCCAACAAGCTCTGGGCGGACGTGTTCGGGGCGGGCGGCCACGCGGTCGACCGGGCGGCGGGCGAGCGGTACAAGAACGAGGTGCTGCGGTGGGGGGGCGGACGCAGCGGATGGGAGTGTGTAGCGGGAGCCTTGGGCAGTGGGAATGTATCGAATGCGGACGGACGGTTGGTGGAGGGAGGGGATGAGGCGATGCGGGAGGTGGGCCGATGGGGATTGGGAAGAGACGGTGTTTCTGGGTAGACGGGTGTACATATGCATGCATTGAAATCGCAGATACTGCATAATCATAGACAACTATTAGATGGTAAGCACTGCAGTGCAACCGTGATCCTGCAATCTGTTCACAATAGAGAACAGAGAGATCGTGTGATCAGTGCAAACCAGGTATGTATCTCCAGTCAAGGATTTAATCCTCATCAGCGACTGGATAGGTTTTATTTCTGTCCTAGTATCTATAGTAGTATCCACAGTCACCCTCCAATGGCTTCCTGTACTAAACATGCTAAGAGGAACTATCCCCAACGTCCCGTGGTCTGCGCTACACAAGCCACACAGTTAGTTACTAGTCACTCGTTACCGTTGAGCAGTTAGCAGTTCATGCAGTAGAGTCTTATCTCGTAGCCATGATCCTGGTAGTCTCTATATAACATGTGCCAGTTCCGTAGTCCATCCAGTCCTCGGCTTCATCAATTATATTATATTACCTACCTTTCCAGGGTTCATGTATACCATAGTCCATAGTCCACATTCCTAGGTACATTGTTGTCCCTTGTCCCTTGTCCCTTGTGTCTCAGTCCATTCCCAAGTCCTACTCCTCCTCCTACATACGAGTATATATATGCCATCAGTCCATGAATGCAACTAGATCAAAATCAAAATCAAAAATCAAACGATAAACGATAATGCCCGAAATCCTCCTCCCGGATACAACCTCCATCACCTCCTCCACCGCCTCCTCCCTCCTCCTCTACACCCATCCTCATGCTCATGCTCACCAGCAGACCAGCACCGGCACCGGCATCCCCCTCATCCAACGCAAAAGCAAAACCCTCCCACTGCGCCGTTTATCGGGCTGGGGCTGGCTCTCGCGCCGCGTCTCCAGGCAGGGATTGAACGCCACCCACGTACTCCCTCCTCCTACTCACACTCACACTCACACCCACCACCACACCCACACTCACAATGACTGTGAGTATGATGAGTACGATGAGTATGAAGATGAAGATGAAACCAACAACATCATCTCCGACCCCAAACGCCGCAAAATGAGGGCCTTGGAAGCACACTACGAGCAAGAACAAGAACAAGCGCGCCGGAGAGAGCGCGATCTATACGAGTCCTATGCGGCGTATTGCCAGGCCTTTACGTCGGCGGGCCAGCACCAGCAGCAGCACCAGCAGAGACGCAAGACGTGGATGATGGACGGGGAGGTGGATCTCTCATCCGAGAATTGCAATGAGATCCACGCTGTCCACATCGATAATGACGATGACGATGAGGATGAGAAACGGGAATTCCCAGCCGAACCGTCGCCCCCTCCTCAGATCCTCACCCCGTCGCTCTACGCCGAGATGCGCCGGGTTGCCTGCGACAAGAAAAGAGACAGGCACCGCCGGTTGTGGGCGCCCGTCCAGTCGTGGTTCCTTCAGATTCGTCACCGCGAGTCTCACTGACCGTGCTTTTAACTTTGGTGGTGGCACGGTGACTGTTGAGCTGGCTTATCATGATACCCCAATCTGTCGAATCATCGGGCTTCTTCCGTATCACTGTCATATCATAATGATAATCTAAATTTAGACAATAGACAATAGACTTCATATTGACTTGACGCATTAGGTATGAACAGGGTATCCTGAGCATCGTATTACATACAACCAAACAATACAAAGGAAATCCTCCAACCGAAATCAGTCTGCTCCGTCCCCGTCACTCAGGACGATCGCTCCCCGTTGCCGCTCTCGTCAAAGCTGCTCAGCCGGTCCAGCCGAGGCGTCGACGCCTGGCTCCGACGGTCCGGCGTTGTGCGTCGCGACAGCTGAGTGAGCTCGCCAATGAGTCTACCAGACAGTATCATCAGTTCAATCTCGTCTAATCCCGGGAAAAAAGAGGAAGAAAAAGGGAAATACCTGCGGTGTTCGTCGTACCAGTCATCGTTGGCCGTCCGGATATGTTTAAGCTGTTCCTGAATGCTGGCCATCTATGTTCCACCTCATTAGTATCACGTCAAACACTGGGAACGAACACCCGGGGTGGATGCGCCGAGTAAATAACGGGTCTCCCACCGTTCCCTCTATGGATGATCCAAGGTCCTCACCTTCCGCAGCGGCTGTCGGACCACTCTCTCCAGCTTTGTTCGACCCATCCTCCATCGCCCATCGGCTGCCCTCCAGCCCCACGTTGCCCTTGCCGCTGTCCTTGTCCGCCTTGAGCGCCGCCAGTTCGGCCTCCAGCTCCCGCACGCGCTTGCGATTGGCCGAAATGGCCGAGTCCACCTCGCCCAGTTGGTTCAGCAGGGACATGTTGCGCTCGATCTGGTCGTTCAGATCCTTCTCGCCCTGTGACAGCTTTTCCTCCATCGTCCGGTTCTGGGCCTTGAACTCCTTCAGCTCGCCGCTGACCGCTTCGTGGCTGGCCTGGAGCTGCGACAGTTCCTCCTGCGACGCAGACAGCTGGGTCAGGACCCGCTCCAGCTCCAACTTGATGCTCTCCGACGCGGCAACCGACTTGGTCAACTCGTCCACTTGGCTGGTCACCGCCGCATAGCTGGCCTCCATCTCCTTCTTCTCCGCATCCAGCTGGGTCAGCGCGGTGCTGTGCTGATTCGCAAGCGCTTCATTGGCAGCCACGGCCTTGTCCGCATCCATCAGCTTCTGCTCGAGGTCGGCCACCGTCGCCCTCAGACCATCAACCAGAGACGTGTCCTGCATCGCAGCACGCGCCTGCGCAAGCTGCTCCTGCACCTCTGCGAGGGCGGTGTCGTGCAACTTCTGCAGCTCATCCAGCTTGGCCTTGTGGGAGGATTCGAGTTCGGACCGGAGGCTGGACAGCTTCTCCTCCTGAAGAGTGAGCAGCTGTTCGATCGCCTTGCTGTGCTCGGCATCAGCTTCGGCAGCCTTGGATGTCTGCGATGCCTCGAGTTCCGCAAGGAGCTTGCTCTTGGTCTCTTCAAAGTCCTTTTGGAGATCCGCGATTTCCTTCTCGCGCAGCTCCGTCTGCGAGCCGATCTCACCCGCATGGCGTTCCAACGTGCTCTTCAGCTCCGCCTCTAGCCTTTCGACCTTTTCAGCGTGAGACGTTTCCAGATCCCGGTTCGCCGCGAGCAGCTCGTCATGCTTGGCCTGGAGCGCGCTCAGCGCATTCTCATGGGACCCAGCCGCCTCGCTCTTGGCCTTTTCGAGCTCCGCAGCGTGCTCCGCCTTCAACGCCTCCAGGGCCTGTGCGTGTCTCTCAGCAACTGCAACCGCCTCCTTGAGCTGTTCCTCAATAGCCTTCTCCGAGGCCGCCGCCTTCTCTCCCAGAGCCCTCAGCTGCTCATCCTTCTCGGCGTCCTTGGCCTTGAGCTTGGTTTCAAAATCAGTGAGGTTGTGGTGCAAGGCTTCGGCTTCTGCCTGTTTGCTCTGGACCTCTTCAACCAGAGACTGGATCTCGCCCTGTCCGGTGGATAGCTGCGACTCCAGCGCGCCGACCTTCTCCTTGAGCGACTCGATTTCTTGGACAGCAACGGCCTGCGCTGAGCTGACGCTGGCCTCCAGCGCTTGCCGGGCTTCACCCAGCGCCTGCTCCGATGCGTTCAGCTTGTCCTGAAGGGCTTGCAATTCGGTTTGGTGAGCCGCGTTGAGCTCACTGATGGCATCCTCCCTCCCCTTTTGCGCCGCGGCTTCGGCAGCATCCAATTCCTCGCGCAGCTTCCGAAGCTCCTCAGAGTGCGTGGTACCGGCGGATTCAGCCGCCTGCTTGGCCACAGTCAATTCCTGGGCATGGGCCGCGGCGGCCGAGGCCAGAGCCTCCTCATGATCGGCCTTGAGCTTGGCGACTGCAGCCTCGTGAGCGGCTTCTAATTCAGCAATCTTCTCATTCAATTCCTTGGCAGCACCCTCGCGAGCCTCCTGGAGCTCTTCCTGCAACTTTGCAACAGCCTGCTTGAGCTCAGCAACCTCCTTGTCCTTCTCTGCAAGCAGAAGGGCAGTCTCCTCGCTGCTCTGGCTCGTGGCAGATTCAGCCTGGGCAAGTTTGGCCTCTAGAGCGGCGACCTTCTCCTCCAGCGCAGAGACGGATTGCTTGGCGGACTCTTCAGCCGCACAAACCTCCTGTTCCTTGGCGCTGTTCAATTTCTCCATCTCCATGTTGAGGTTCTCAATCACCTGATCGCGTCCCTTGAGCTCCCGGTCCAAGCTATCGAGGGCCACCGCCTTCTCCTCCTGCAACTTCTGAGTTGCTTCCTCGAGCCCATTCTTCTGCGATTCGAGCTGGGCCTGGAGAGTCGCAATCTGGTCAGCGTAACCGGCCGCAATGGCTTTTTGTTCGGCTAGCTCCTTCTCCAGCGCCTCAAGCTGAGACTGGTGGGACTGCTTCAATTCTTCGAGTGCCGCAGCAGTCTTGCCGTCCCCTTCCTGAGCGGCTGCTTTGGCGGCATCTTCCAAGTCGTGCAGGGACTTTTCTTCCAGCTCCTTGCGCTTGGACTCTGCCTCATCCAACTGAGCCTGCAGAGCTTGGAGCTGCTCGGCATGTTCTGCGGCCAGCCTTGCCGTCTCAGCAGCGTGTTCTTCCCGAAGAACGCTGGCGACTGCATCGTCGTTTTCTTTGGGTGCTTCCTCTTGAGACACCGACAGCTGAGAAAGCTTCTCATTCACGGTCTCCAGCTCCGCCTTGAGACCGGCGACAGTAGCCTCACTCTCCGACAGCTTGTTCTGCAGCGACTGTAGTTTCTCCGCCTCATCGTCAGAAGTCTTGATGGCAGTGCTCAGTCGTTTCGAAGCCGTCGTTGTAGGGCGCGTAGCCGTGGCCGTGGGCCGGGTGGCGGCAGTTCGGGCCGCGGTGGTGTTAGAAGTGCGGGAAGCGCTGGACAAGCCAGTTGGTTTTGTGACAGGCTTAGTCGATGAAGCGGTACTAGGACGCGTAGTCGTGGTCCTTGATGCGGTGGTGCCGGCAATGCTCGAGCGACGGTCCAAAGTGGACGTAGTGGTCTTCACTGGAGCCCTGGAGGAAGTAGTACCGACCAAAGACATGCGCTTGGCCGAGCCCGAGATTCCTCTCCTCTCGTCTCCAGAGCTCGCGACCGATCTCGCCTTCTCATCTGCGGAGCTGCTCACCGAGGGGCGAGACCGGTGAGAGGCGGTCGTCGAAGTGCTCAGCGGTTTACGGACGGTGCCGGAGGTGGTAGGACGAGTTGGAGGCTTGCTGAGAGTACTGCCGTTAGCTGCAGCTCGCGCGGTGGACGCTGCGGTCTTGGATGCGCCAGAAATAGAGCTCGGACGTTTGGTAGCTGCCGTTCCAGACAACGGACGCTTTGTGGTCGTAGTGGTCTTTTCGGGGGAAGACTTGATATTTTCCTTGTCTCTGATAGAAGCATCAGGGCTAGTAACGGGTCCTTCGCTGCCGGACAAGATGGTAGAGTCGACAGGAGTAGCAGGGGGTGCCATGTCAGCGTCAACCTCGGCCGCAGCGGGCGCAGGAGCGGGAACAGGGACAAGTTCTTCCGTGGAAGCCATTATGGGATGTTGGTAGGCCTGAGACCGTAGCTAGAGGGATGTCTGTTAGCCTTGAGAGAAACTAGAGTAGCAATCAATATATGGGAATGCAATGCAAGATCATCAGCACAAGGTGCAGGAATGATTGATGCTGTACAGACACCAGAGACCGACAACGCAGCAATCAGCTAATGACACCTCACCACAGCTAGCGAATTGCTTCCCGGGTCACCTGCAGGTAGAGGCAGCTGCGATGCGAGGTGGACGTGTGTCCCCCTTTCCTGGGCGATTCCGATAGGATAGTCATGAAGGACAGGAGATGACAACTTACTAATTAATGATTCTCCGGGCCAATGCGGGATGAAAACGGGATCAAGTGCCCAACTAGAGGGATGAAGCCGTTTAGGTACCTTAGCTTCTAGTAGTACCGTCGTAGATCGTTGTACAGCGGGAGAATTGGAGGTGAACGGTGTCGGGAGTAGGGGGTATGATTGGCCAACACAGCCCGACCAAAACAAACAAACAGACAGAGGAAAACAAAGGAAGAATTGCAGGATTAAAGACGATATGAAGAATTTTTTGGCAATGAAGGAGAAGCAGACAAGTGAGACATGCAACAATGGATGAGAGATAGCCAGAGGACAGGTGCAGGATGCAAGTAGGTAGGTAGATAGAAGGGAGAGAGTCCCTTTTTCCCGACTATTTTAGCAGGAGGAGTGGGGGAAAAGGCGGAGAGACGAACGGCGATCAGCAGATGCACCTACAGTACAACTACAAGAGTCAGTAGTACTAGATAAGCTGAAGTAAGTAAGTAAGCTTCGGATGACAATATTGGAACTGAGGCTGTGGTTTTTGTCTCAACGCGAACGCAATTAATAGATTTATCTATACCGCCCTGGATATCCTACGCATCTAGCTTCATGCGGGTGTCAATCCCATCTGCGCCATCCGCTCGCGCGCAAAATCACGTAGGTCCGACAGTTTCAAAGAAAGAACAGCATTGGGGTCTTGACCGGAAACCATTTGTTGCCCAAAGAGGTCCAGCTTAGTAAATTGGACTAGATCAGCACCAGGAGCAGGAGCCGGAACAGGCACAGGGAAGATCGGCTAGGCTCTTAATGTTAGTTTCGGTGCATGGCTTCGAGATAGCATGGTCCCTACCTTTTTGCATACTGTCAGACCACCTGCGGGATCTCTGCGCCATATTTCCACTATGCCCTTCCCTCTATTGCGGGAGAGCTTTGACCATTTCAACAAGATTACCAAATTAGCATCAGTCGAACCGTTCAGCCATAAGTCTTTATCGGCATGCAGGCGTGGCCATGACTCGCTCCAGCCACTTTCGACAATGATTAGAGGTAGAGGGCTTGTGTCTGGACGCAAATACAGGTCCGGCTCCTTCGAAGAATGGGTATATTGCCCCGCAAAACCACGAAAAGCTGCGATCAAATATTAGCACGCTAACACTAAAGCACAGAGCAAAGGACATACTTGTTCCTACCCCGATGTCCAGAAGGCTACTCTCGGACTGGTTGATCAGTCCATCAAAGACCCAGGTGCGACTGGCATGACCAAACCATCTCTGGGGGACGTCATAGAGTTCCGTTGGCATGACTCGAACCCAAAGAGTTCCGGTGAAAGAGTTAAAATTAACTCTGGATCAGGACAACAAACGTCAGGAAATTCCAGTGTATATCTGTTTGGAGATGGTCTTACCTTGCGCTCCTTGACTCGACCACGCTCGACTCCGCGAGAGAACGACAAATCAAAGCACCTTGCTTGGGTTGGATTGACTCATGCACGAGCTCTGTGAACTCTTTGATTGTGGGAATCTTGCGCACGATCTCATTGAAGATCGCTTGAGTAGAGAGTGGTGGAACTTGGGTAGAACCCGCGCTTCGAAGCTCTCGAGTAGAAGAAGGTGAAGGAGAATGAGTGAGGAGGGACGAGGGCTTGCCGTTGGGCGACATGTTTGCGAATGAAGAAGAGGTAACACTAAGGCAGACTTGGATAGACTTGGTATACTGCAGGGGAAGTTCGTAAAGAGCATGGGAGGTGTGAGATCAAGGCTGTGCTGCCTCAGGCACCGCACTTACTCAACAGTGACGGATTCAGATTGATGTGAGCCATGTAGTCCACCAGGACCTAGATACTGAAGAACGGGGATTCGCTTCTATTGATGGGGGAGATGGTATCTCGATGGGAATCGATAGGAAATGATGGAAGGTGGATGGTACTTCAATTCGATATGACCGGTGCTCGATGCGATGCTCCTTGGCTAACTGTGCCATAGTTTAGCTTTATCATGTGGGTTCTGCTGGAAGAGGATTCTTTAGTCTTACTTAGTTCTAGTCACATTTTGTATCTTAACACTAGATACTCTTCCAGATGGTTTGATGTTGACCTTCGTCATATTAAACTGTCTGATCAGTCCTTGGTCAACGGGTTCGGATTAGGGATTAGGTTTGGTCCGGAGTGCCAGCTGGTTGTGGGATGTGGCGACCCTGACATTGAGTAGACCCTTTGGGGTCTACAACGTCAAATTCTTCAGCTAAGATGATGATTGCTCTAAGCTGGTGAATTTATGTCAAAAGTATCTTTGTTTCTATATGGATTGTCTCTTGTAGAGCATGGCATGGTCGTGTCTCAATATCTGCCCTGTGTGTTGTTACGCCCTCACCGCATCAAAACAAAACAAATAATCAGTGGATCGCTCGATGCATCATCCATGGTTCTGAGGTATATGAAACTATGGTAGACAGATATCGACAGAACAAAAAGGGGTATCCAAGGACAAAAGCGCCGAATAAGACAAAAGAAGATTCATAGTCAATCCACCGACACCGGACGATGAACGCCGTTCACACTCAACAACCATTGCCATTGTCGACGCCCTTCTACCGTTCTGAGATCCTCCTGGATTCGAGGGAGATATCGGTCATGAATCTCTCGAGCTTTCGTCTGAAGCTCCTGTAGGGTCCGGTGACGCAGTTTCTGTCCAAAATGGCAGACCATGCGAACATACCGGTCCTCACCTAAGACGCCAACGACAGCTTTAATTAGCATTGATGATGATGATGCTGGTGCTGAAAATACCAGGAATACCAGAAACTCACCCAGAAACAGCTTCAATCCATCCAGCAGAGCAATCTTCTCATCCTCGGTCCATTCCCTCCTCTTGTCGCCTCTGGAGGCCCCCTCGGTCTCATTCACGCGGCGTCGTAGCAAGTTGTCTTCCAACGCCTTGATCAGCTCTCGAAGCGGCTTGCGGATGGTTGGACTGTGTATATCGCACCGTATATATCGCTCGGCGCGCAGGCTGGCAATTCGGTCGCAGAATCGTAGAAGGAGCTTCATCGCCCCGGCAAGATGTCTATAAGCCGACGGAAAGAGTCTCCGGTTGGTGTAGTAGGCTTCAAAGCAAAGAAGTATCACTTTGATCATGGTGGGAAAAATCCGGGCTTCAAACTCCCCGACCAGCTCATGCGCCTGTTCCAGCAGTGCATGCGACTCTGCGTGGCGGAGAGACAGATAGTAGACGCTGTCAAGGATCCTGGTCCCTTCTTCCAAGACGGCCTGGCGAAGGTCTTCGCACTCACGCAGATTCTCTCGGAGAGGCCCATGTCGAGATCGGAGTTGCCTGTTAATCTTTGTATATCTCGTCCGTAGCTGAGATAATTGTTGGTCGATTGCCCCGAAGGACTCGGCTCGAGAGGGGTCTTTATTCTCTTTCAACTCCGATGCTTCCGTCACTAGAATATCCCAGTTTTCCTTTTGCTGTCCAAGGTTCGAAGCCTCCGCAAACCACGCTTTATCCCCCGCATTTTCTCTCGGACTTCTCACCCGAGTCCCGTTCTGCGCATCATCTGAGATAGCACCGATGGGCCTTGTGACAAAAGCGAGACTTTCCGAGCGATGACGCGAGCTCCTGCGGCTCCGGTAGTCATCAGGAGGCGATGGATTTGAATGCACAGGCGGCGGCGTCGGCTGTTTGCGCAAGACCTCGACTTGAGGGTTGCGCTGATACTCATCGGTACGGCGTCTCTTGCTTGGCCGCGCGGCGATAGACGGTTCCTCCTGCTGCGTGTCGGGCAAATGTCGACTCGCCCCTGCTTCTTCCTCTTCCTCTTCCTCTTCGTCTTCCTCTGCCACCGGTTCATACGAGCTTTCTGATTCAGACTCATCTCGCACCGATTCAGATACCTCTGACAGCCCAGCCGTTCTATCCGCCTGCTTGTCTTGAGCACTCTTTCCTTTTCTCAAACCATTCTGCACCGGCAGCGACCTTCTGTTCGGCCTTCTTGAGGGTTCGTCAACCTCTTTCTCAACTGCTTGAGCCGCAAGGGTATGTCTCCATGTCGCTCGCGGCGAGGTTATCTCTTGAGTCAACCTTCGAGTCTGGATGATATGTGTAGACTCTGGCGGCCCGTTAGTGTCCGATCCTCTCTCATCATCTTCTTCTCTTAACTCTTCACTTGCTGCTGTATCGGGAGCCCATTCCGGGTCGTCCTCTTGGGCTTCCTGCGCGCCGGTCGTCCGAGATTCCTGAACTCTGAGCTCTCTCGAAGGGGAAGGATTCATAGGTTCCTCCGAGGCCCTTTCGCCTTCGTCTTCTTGTTCTCCCCTTTCTTCCTCGATAGGTGCATGGCTCACGTCCGCGTTTCTCTTCTTGTTCACCAACCCGATCAACCTCGCGCCACCTAACTGCTTATCAATGATTTCGTTCAATTCCTCCCCCGTTTCAGAATCATCTTCATCGTCACTTCGCTCATGCCTATCCTCAATGACACGTGCCAATCTCCGCGAGGACCTAGTCGGGGTATCCTCCACTGCATGAACCTGCTTCCGAGCTCGTTGGGATCGTCTCAGAGAAAGGGGCTCGGTCTGTGACGCAGGTCGTGTCTTCTCCGGCGAAGTGTCCGACGGAATATCCCAAATAGCATCGCCCCGCGGGACTTGCGGCGTCCTGCTACCAAAACGGTTGATAGGCTGCGAGGGTAAACGCCGGAAACGCGGTTTGCTTCTGGAATGGGGGTTCGCGCCGGTGTTGTCCATGACGCTGTTGAGCATGTCCACGCTCCGCGTGGTCAAGTCGCGTTTGTTCTTTCGCGAGGCACTCATAGGGGACGGCCATTAACTAATTGCACCGGGGATGAGAGTTGTATTAGAAATTTATTTCACGTAGTCAGCCGTAGAGATGCTCGCTGGTGGTGAGTTTAATCTGTGTCGACTGTTGATCCGTCTGTTTTTGCGGAGAAGGTCTGGTGCCGTCCGGCGTCTCAGCGTCATCGCCATATGATCGACCTAGTACAGTCCTTCACAGGACTACAACACCACAACACCTCCCTCTACCACCAAACTCCTTTTTCATCAATATTTCTTACCGGCCTTTAGAATCAGAGTTGGCATAATCTTATAGCTGAAATAATAATGGCCCACGGTTTCCCACTTCGGGTTCTACCAACCCTCGACCCCTCTGCGGGGCACACCTTCATCACCCCCAGCAAGAGAATTCACGAATCTCAAGATGTATCAGAGTTCCTCGTCTCCAAAGCCTACGTCGATATCATGACCTTCCTCCTGCAGCTCAACCGGGCCATGATCCCCGTCAAACTTCCCGACGGCGCAGTACAATCCTGGCCGATCAACACAGACGCTGTCGAGTTCTCCGCGCCGGTACGGCAACTCCAACAGCTCCTGACAAAACTGGAGGAGCTCCTCGAAGAGGCGCCGCCTGATACGGGTCCTCGGAGATTTGGGAATATCAGTTTCCGCAGGTGGTACGAGCTCGTGGAGAGCCGGGCCTCGGAGCTACTGGAGGAGTGTTTGTCGTCTGAGCTGCTGCAGGCCAGATCGTCGGATCCTAACGGGTTGACCGCGGAGGTGGAGCTCAAAGCGTACTTCTTAGGCAGCTGGGGAAGCCCACAGAGGCTGGACTATGGGACTGGACATGAGCTGAGCTTTCTGGCTTTCCTGGCTGGGATATGGAAGCTGAATGGGTTTCCAAAATCGACTCCGGGAGTGGAGGAGAGAGCAATCGTCTTGGGGGTCATACAACCGTATGTACGGCTCACGCGTGGTGACTGCAATGGCTGACCCGCGGCAGATATCTAGAGCTTGTGCGAACCATCATCAAGCGGTACACGCTAGAACCGGCAGGGTCTCATGGCGTTTGGGGTCTGGACGACCATTCCTTCATCCCGTACATTTTGGGATCTGCCCAATTGGCGCCAGCCATTTCAGAAACCGATCCGACTCCTGAAGAAGGCTCGCTTCCAGGTGCTCCATCCCCCAGTAGTGTCACCAAAGCACATGTTGTCGAACGAGAAAGGTTGGCAAATCTGTATTTCTCCGCAATTGGGTTCATTTACGATGTCAAGAAAGGACCATTCTGGGAACATAGCCCCATGCTCTACGACATTTCCGGCATCCAGGCTGGTTGGGGGAAAATCAATAAGGTTGGTCTCGTTGCTTTGCTCGAATGGACCGATGGCTTACTGTTCAGGGTATGATCAAAATGTACAACGCTGAAGTACTATCCAAGTTCCCCGTAGTGCAGCACTTCCCCTTTGGCTCCCTCTTCAGCTGGGACCGCGATCCAAATGCCGTCCCGCCCAAAACGTCCGTCCACACATCTACCACCCAGTCCCAGCCTAGGGAGCCGGCGGCCCCATCTGCAGGACAGATGCCGCCGTCCGGGACCAGGGCGCCCTGGGCAACTGGCACTCAGGCCGTCCCACCAGTTGGCGCAGGGACCGCCGCGCCATGGGCAGCAAGGAGAGACGGAGGCATCTCCGGAGAACCAACGTCTTCCGCCCTTCCTGATACGTCCCGACTACCTCCTGGTCCTATGGCCCCTACCAGAGCTCCGTGGGCGGCGTCGTCAGCCGGGCAGGCACCCGGCGGTGATCCAACCCATGTTTCCACCAAAGCTCCTTGGGCGAAGTAACCTTTGCGGTAGTGCTGATACAGAATACGTAATCTTCATCTCCTGTTTCATACCCTCTACCGAGATTGAACAATGAACATCCGTCAATTCTGGAGGCAGTCCAAACCATGTATCTTGAAGCGAACTCCGCCGGGTATCACGCAAGCAAACGCCGTAGAAATACAGAAAGAATCATCATCCAGTCGTACTCAGTCACTGTCAGACGCATAGTGGACCAACGCGAGTGGTGCAACCGGTCTATCAGGCTCGACAGGGACATCAACCGCGGTTGCTGGTACATCATGCGCAACACCAGCCTCAGCAATATCCACGCCTTTTGTCGAGCCCGTCTTTCTCCTCTTGACCCCCGGCCGCCATGCGCTCCCATCCTGGTTGAGAAACGGATCGACCGCTGCCCGCGTATTCCCCGTCAACTCACTGCGAAACAGCGCCTTGCGCTCGGCCAGCGCATCTGCAGCCTTAGGTCGTTTCCCATTCCCGCCAGCCCGCCGTCGACTCCCCGGGTCAACAGACTCGCGCGAGTCGAACAACGGCCGGTTACGCGCGACCCGGGCCGCATCAAGCCCGAGCCCAAAATCCACCATGCCCGCGCGGACGCTATCTTCCTCGGTCTCCTCAACAAGCTCAATCCCCAAGCTCATCTTATCCTTCAGCGCCTCCGCCCTCGCCTCCGCACCCTCGCGCACCTTCCGCTCCGCCCGGAACGTCCGCCGCAGCCGTCTCGACCGCTCATACGGATCCTCCCAGTCCCTATCCTGCCGCCTCAGCAAATCCTCAATCCGCGACCTCTCCGTCTCCGCCCGCCGCTTATCCTCCACCTTTCCCTCCAGCCTCGCAAACGCATCCTCCTTCTTCCTCTCCTCCTCCTCACCCCCCAC